TAGACGCGGTGCAAATAGTGGCGATGCTGGCGAAGATGTTGGCTTCGACGACGGCGCGGCCAGCGCGGGTGCGATGCTGATCGCGCCAGCAACGATGACGGCGCCCTCGCGTCGGCGTCGGCGGCGCAGGCATTGGGCGGAGTCCGACGCGCGCGCGGCCGACGCGCGAGAGCGGCCCGCGCGTTTTTACTTAGCGCGGATCGCGCCCCCCCCCCCCCCCCCAGCGCGCGGGCAAGGGCGCCCGCGTGATTTTGACGTGCGGCGCCGGAGGCCTGTCCGGCAGAATCCCCGGACAATTTAGTAAAACCGATGATTTTCTCGGGGGTGCGCAAGCGCGCGAACGCGCGCTTCTTTGAACATTGGTTTTGCGAAACCATGCGTTTTCATTATTCGTTTGGCGCCCGCTTTTGAAGTCGCCCGGAAAGCCAGGGTTTTTGAAGGATCCAGGCACGAAGTGCGCGCGACGGCGCGCGCGCACTTCGTTCTGTTTTCGCGGCGGGCCCTCGCGACGGCTTGCGCGCAGGGGCGAGCGAGCGATTCCGACGCGCGCGCGCGAAGCTTGTTTGGTCGCATTTTCTGAAGTGCCGATTCGCACGGGCGCGCCCGCGAGTTTTTTGCTGAAGATCCGCATTGCGAGACCTGCTTTGTTTCTATGTGTTTTGGGCGCTCCGTCTTGGAATCTTTACGGAACTGATGGCTTTTGAAAGATTTCGGCGCGCGCGACGACGCGCGCGCGTGCACTTGGTCAAGTTTTTTCTTGCCAGGGATTCTTGGCAACTGATGGTTTGCGATAGCGAGCGCGCGCGCTGTGGCTTTTTGCAGGGGGGGGGGGTCGGGGCGATGCCGCCCCCCCCGGGGCGGTGCGAACTCAGATTCAAGATTGGCGGGGCAGAATCACATTTAAATTGCAATGTGAAAAGGGGGTCGGATAATCACGGGGGGGGGGGGGGGGGGAGTTGTAAGAAAGGAGAACCTAGGTGGCGCCATCAACTTCGCAAAATCTGGAGTTATCAAGTCCACTGCTCGCGCGGGAATCCCACCCGCCCACCCCGCGACGTGGCTTGCAAGACCCATGCGGCAGCGACTGCGGTGAGTGCTTGGCGATGGCTGGCGCATCTCTGCGGCCGCGCGAGCCCGCGCGCGCTCGCGCGCGCGCAGCCGCCAGCCAGGTTTGCGCGACCGCCGCGGCCGCGGTGGTGCTGGCCGCTGCGAACTTCCTAGCGGGCACTTCAGCGCGCGTCGGTGACTTGGGCGGGCGCGGTATCATGGCGACGCCGACGACGGTAGACGCGCTTATGTGAGCAGCGATGGTGGTGACGCCGATTGCGATGACGACGGCAAGACCAGCGACGGCGCCGATGTTTTTCACGCCCGCGGATAACGGTGACGATGACCTCGCGTCGGCGATGCAAGTTTTTGCCGGAGTTCGACGCGGGCGCGGCCGACGCGCGCGAGTGGTCATGTATTTGACACGGAGCGCACCCCCCCCCCTTTCCAATAGCGCGCGCAAGGGCGTTCGAATGAGTTCGACATGCGGCGCGAGGTGCCCCGTTGGCAGAGCTCGACGCACATGCTGGAAAATTGTGTTCTTAAGCGTCCGCGCCACCGCGAGCGCAGAAATCCGCAAAAACTGACGTCGCACAACCAGGTGTTTTGATACATTTTCGGCATGCACGATTTTGAAATCCCTACGGCAGCTCACGTTTTCGAAGCACTTCGGCATGAGAGCACGACGACGCGCGCGTGCGCACTTCGTCCCATTTGTTGCAAGGGGCTGTTGCGACAGCACTACGACGCCCAGAGTTCTTCAAGACTTTCGACATGCGCGGGCGACGACGCGCGCGTGAGCTCTCCGTCTTATTTGTTGGTGATATTTTCGAAAGCTGCATCTTTTCGATAAGCGAGTGCGCGCGCATGTTTTTGCAGAGGATGCGGGGAACCGGTACCATCCTGGCTGGGATGGTATGGATTGATACTTCGGAAGGACAACGGGGCAACATCATATGCAATTTGCAGTACGACAAAGGTGACCCGCTAACCCTAGAAAAGGGGGGAACATATCCTAATACCTGTTAAGGAGAAGGACACCAAAGGAAAACAACAATCGGTGGATGGTTTCAAAATTCGTAATATTGATACTGGTGGGGATCGGCTGTGAGATCGCTCGGGAGATCGATCGTGTAATCGATAATGAGGACGATTGTAAGTTCGATCGTGAGACCGAAAGTAAAGTCGATCCAGTGAAATCGATCGTGCGATCGATCGCGACAATCCTTCGTGCGATCTATGGTGAGATCACCTGCGAGATCGATAATGCGACGATAGACAGGTGGGTAATGAGATCGATGGTGAGACCGATCGATAAGGAGATCCACCAGGAACCCGGGAACCCCGCCGCCCACCGAAATCGGCCCGGAAACCGAATCCGGGAACCTGGGAACCCGGAGTCGGGAACAGGCCCGGAATTTTCGCAAAACTTTTCAGCAGCCGTTAGGACCCCTTCAGTGCAAGCGCTGATTGGGGAATAGATGGGCAACTCATGTGGTGCAACCGGTGTGGTGCGATCTATGTTGTGCCGCTTACGCTGTGTAATCTATGGTTTACGATGCAGATGTTGCAATATGTCTGGAGAAATATGTGTTGGGAAAGCAATATATGTGGGGTAGACATAGATAGACATGTGCGCATATATATATATATATACATATATATATATATGTATGTATACATATACATATATATATATATGTATAGATATATAGGTGTATATATGTGTGTATATATATATGTATGTATATGTGTGTGTGCGTTTGCTAGTTAAGGTCTACGGAGGTTCCTGGAGGTTCTCTGGGCCCCCTGGATCGAGGTCGCCGTCGCCGTCGTCGCCGTTTTCCCCAGGCCGCGCGCCCTCGGCGGGGCCAGCGCGCCCTGCGCCGCTCGGGGCGCGCTGCGCGGGCCGCGTCCGCCCAGGCGGCGGGCGAGCGGCTCGGCGCGCGCGCCCGCGAGGGCCTGACGGAGGCCTTCGCGGCGGCCCGCCGGCTGGGTCACTTGCCGGCGAGGGGCCAGGCTTCCGAGGGGCCTCCGAGGATAGGGGACCGAGGATTCGGTGTAGGTTTCTCGCGCAGGCTTGCTTTCTGGCAACCTGTCGTCGCATCGGCCCGATTTCCCCGAAATCCCCGCCACAGCGCACCCCAGGACAGATTCGGGGGAGGAGTTGTGAAGTGGTCCTGGCTCAAGGCCCTGAGTTCCTCGGGCCGTTTTCTATAACCGCATGCCCGCGATAATAAAGCATCCCCCCCGTTAGCTCCTGAGTCATAATTATCCATGGGGTGCGGGCGGAGCGGCGAGGCCGAACGCTATTACCGGGGAAAGTACCTATCGTACATTGGATCAGCTTATCATGATCTACCCTTTGCTGTCATCATTCGAAGGTGTCTCAACAAACCGCTTGTTTAAGTAAGCGCTGTCGTTTTTTCTCATTATGTGTCGCTCCTTCGCTTCCTTACCTTTCTTAATTATAGTATTGCTCATATGCCTTATCTTGTCTATCTCCTTCTCCTCTCTCGCCCCTTCTTCTTTCCTCCGCACGCCAGCTAAACTTGTTCATCGCCGTCATCGACGATCACTCCCCAAAGAGCAGCCATGAGTATTCACTCCTACACAACGAGTAGAAAACCTCAAACAACCTTTCAGTTCTGTAAATAGAATTCGGTTGGTCCGAAACTCTGATTTCTTTTAAAATATCCTCATCCTTCTCCTCCCTCTCCTCGTCGTCCTCCTCCTTCTTTTCCATCTTGTCCCCTTCTTCGCTCACCAGGGCATGCCCCGCCAGAGCCAAGAGCGAGGAGGATGCTTCAGGCTTCTTGCTCACACACCCGTACACCGTACATGCCTGCATGCGACTTGCCCGGGAAGCCTTTTATGATCCCCCTTGGGGCCCCGAATTTCATGATCCCCATGGTGTGATGATCACCGGCACAGTGTTAGAGCCCACCGTGGGCCTCGTGAAGGGGGGCGGGGCTCTGGGGATCACCGCGGGCCTCCAGCTGGGGCAGCCACTGACCCAGGGCCACCCCTGGCAACACCCGAAGGCCGGAGACGGCGACCGCGGGGGCGCGGGGATCGGGACCGACCACCTGCTGCTCGGCCTGGCCAGGGCCCGGGGCTCCTGCGCCGCTCGGGCGCTGGGCTCCGTCGGCGCCATCGCCGCGAAGCTGGAGGCGGCGGTCGTCGGGCTCAGGCCCCCCGCGGCGGCGCAGGAGCCGCCGACGGCGGTGGAGCTGCTGTCGCCACCACTCAACAAGGAGGCCAGGGCGGCCCTGCAGGCCGCCTCGGGTGCGCTGCCAGCGCCGCTCGGCAGCGACGGGCTGCGGGTCCTCGGGACGGAGCACGTGCTGCTCGGCCTGCTCACCGCCGGCAATCAAATGGCGGCGAGACTTCTCGGAGCGCTCCGCGACGAGGGCGGATGCTCCAAGGCGGACGCCGCCGCGCTGCGCGCGGCCGTTGCAGGCCTGGTCGAGGCTGGCGCCGGCGATGCTCAGCTAGAGGGCGCGGGCGACGCGGCGGGGCCATCAGCGGGCGCGCGAGCCCGCGGTGGTGGCACCTTCCTGGAACGCTTCGCTTCCGACCTCACGGCCGCGGCGCGCCGCGCGGAGCTGGACCCGTTCGAAGGGCGCGGCGGCGTGGTGGCGCAGGTGGAGCGCGCGCTGGGCCGCCGTCGCAAGCGGAACGTGCTCGTCGTGGGCGACCCCGGCGTCGGCAAGACGGCCGTCGTGGAGGCGATCGCTCAGCGCATTGTGCGCGGGGAGGCGCCGAGGTGGCTGGCTGGCCGCAGGCTGCTGTCGCTGGACGTCCCGGCGCTCTCGGCCGGCACGCGGCTGCGGGGCGACTTCGAAGAGCGCCTGCGGGGCGCGCTGGCGGAGGCCGAGGAGGAGCAGTGTGTGCTTTTCGTGGACGAGGCCCACACGCTCGTGGGAGCGGGCGCGTCTGCGTCGAACCCCATGGACGCCAGCGACATGCTGAAGCCGGCGCTGGCGAGGGGGAGCCTTCAGGTCGTGGCCGCCACCACGTTCGAGGAGTCAAGGCCAGTCTTAACATTGACATCCCTGTACGTTGTGTGTTGTACGTTGTGTTGTCTACGTTATGCTTATTGCGCTGTGGTTATTATGCTGTGGTTTCTGTCTGGTGCTAACAACGAAAACACAGCCTAGACAGCACAGCGAAGAAAATACCAAGTCAGAGTGAGGGGCTAAACGGTCATTCATTGTCCTGGGTGCGTGGCTCTAGCGGGGATGCGTGGTGAGGATTCGGCTTGTTGCGTTGTTGTTGTTGTTGTTGTTGTTGTTGTTGTTGTTGTTGTTGTTGTTGTTGTTGTTGTTGTTGTTTTTTGTTGTCGTCGTCCCCCCCGCGACATACCCCGCGACCCACCCCGCGACCCACCCCGGGATCCATCCCGCCACCCAGCCCGCGACCCAGCCCGCGACCCACCCGCGACCCACCCGCAACCCACCCCGCGAACCGCCCGCGACCGACCCGCGACCCACCCTGCGTCCCACCCCTCGACCCACCCGCGACCCACCCCGCGACCCACCCGCGACCCACCCCGCGACCCACCCCGCGACCCACCCCGCGACCCACCCGCGACCCACCCCGCCATCCCACTTTGCTTTACGAAAAAATCGGCGCCTACGGCGGGCTCAATGCATATTGTGTAAAAGTTGAGCGCCTGCGGCGGGCTTCTCCAGAGCCTCGCAGACTGACGACGTCCTCGCCGCTCCCTCACTCTTATCCGCAACTGCGGGATGCTACGTATAAAGTAGTTTTGTCATAAAACACGTTGGCTAACACAGCGAAAAGCCTTCTTGAAGGGCAGCGGATGTTCCGTTGATTGCTACTAATAACAAAAACACAGGTCACAGCGTGAATACTTACAGAACGCACTGCGGAGAAAACATCACGCAGAAGCCACCCAGTCAACAGAAACACAATAACCTTTTTTTCAACATTACAAAAACAGAATCACAACGTAAAACAACAGCGTAGAAGACACAGCGTAGAGAACACACTTCGCAAAGCAACGATGCAGAAAATGTAGCTTGGACAGCGTAACCTAGGAAGCGCAGCAACACGCTGTTGGGACCGCTGCGTAGAAACCATAAGTTTGAGATCAAACTGAGTGGACAAAAACATCTTGCAAACACAAAGCACAAACCAACACAAGGTAAACAGAACACAGCACGTACACCACCGCGTAAAAAAAAACGCAAACAATAAACCACGTAAGCAACACAGCGTAGAACACCAAGCGTGAAACTACATTGCTCAGACGACACCACGTAAATAGCACAGCATGGGCACCACAGCGTGGAAGACACAATGTAAACAAGCACAACGTAACACACAGTGCTGATAAGCGCAGCGTGAACACTGGAGACAACACGCTGCGCAGAAAACACCACGGACAAATTACACAGTCGACACACATCGCCCTTCAAACACGCAACGCGAACACGACAACGTGACATGCACGGCGCATAAACAAGACAGCGTACCCAAACAATTCCGTACATCGCGATGCAGATAGAACCATATGGGCAATTCGGCATGGGAAGCACAGCAGCACATCTGTAGAAACCACATCGTACAAGCAGATATGTCCCGCAGCCAAAACTAATCAAACAACGTACATACTGCGTCCATACATACATACACATACACATCCACATCTATATATACACAGTTATATCTACAGATGTATCACACACCACGTGCAACACACAGCGTAACCACCATGTAAAACGCATACAACAACACTTAACATACAGCGCACAAAGCGCCACGTACAAATATATGTAAGCTGAGAAAACACTGCGTACAGCACGGCGTAACAATACACCGTAAACAGACACATCACGCGCAGAACAACACATAACGCAGAAAGTACCACGGAGACAAGACACAGGGAGCATACATACACCCGTTAAAGCACAGCGTAAGCAAGCACACAGCGTAACAACACGCAGCGTAAAACATACAGCGTAGAAGAAAACAACCCAGCGTAGAACACACCCAAGCACATCTTGTAAACATATTGCAGATAGCGCCATGTGACAACGTAAATTCCGAAGCACAGCAACACATTTGTAGGCATCATATTGTATAGTCGGAATGCTGAGTAAGGTAGTGTTGAATATTGCTTGGTCGCAGAAAAGAACGATAGCAATCAACGTAAACAATCAGCCTGTAAAACATCACGTGAAAACGCGGCGTGCAAATACGTAAACCACCACATCGGCAAAACAACACCACGTAAAACCACACACAGCGTACAACATACCACATGATCATACATGTAATTCAGAAACGCGCGGCGTAGAAAACACAGCGTAAAACCACACAGCGTAAACAAATGCACCCCGTACAAAAAACGCAGAAAACATTCCGGAGAAAACACACAGTAAACAAAAGCGCACCCTTTGAAACACAACGTAAAAAACGCAGCGTGATAACACACATCGTAGAACATACAGTGTAGAAATCTCGTCGTAGAAACCACACCTTGTAAAACACGATGCTGGCAGCGCCATGTGACAACGTTATGTAGCAAGCACAGCGACCGACCTGTAGAAACCACAACGGATAAACAAAATTGTTGACAGGGCCCTGTCGAAGAACCCAACGTACAACACGTACAACACAGCCACATATAAAGCACAGCGTACACAATCGAAAACAGCGTGGAACGAAACGACCATGTAATAACGGATGCAAGCTAGAAGACATTCCGTAGGAAGTACCGCGAAACAAAAGCACCGCGTAAAACACACTACGTAACAAACACCACATAGAACATACCACCACGGAGAAGACACAGCGTAGAGCATACAATCTTCAAAGTTACACCATCAACAGCGCAATGTAGAAAACACATCGTAGTTGTAGGTTAGTCAGCATTAAGCCAACTCTCTCGAGGAGTACCGGGAGCGCTTCTCGAAGGACCCCGCCTTGGAGCGCCGGTTCGAGGTCGTCGAGGTCAGGGAGGCCACGGCCACCGAGGCGGCGGGGGTGCTGGCGGCCCTCAGCCCGCTGTACGAGGCCCACCACGGCGTCACCTGCACGGCGGAGGCGGTGGCGGCGGCGGCCGACTGGTCCGACAGGTACCTCCCAGAGAGGCACCTGCCGGACAAGGCCATCGACGTGCTGGACAGGGCGGCGGTGCGTGCCAGGGCGCGCCTTGTGGCGCGCAGCGCCGGCCCCGCCGCGGCCGCCAGCGAGCAGGGGCGCGTGACGACACAGGACGTCGCGGCGATTATCGAGGAGACGGTGGGGCTGAGGCCTGGGGCCGTGTCCGCGACGGACGCCCTCCTGGGAGGCGACCGCGGAGAGCACCTGTGCACCACCGCCGCGCCTGGCCAGGGCCATCCTGGGCCTCCTGGCCTCGGCCAGAGAGGGAGGGGCGAGGGAGGCCACAGAGTTCCGTGCAACTGGTGCGACGAACCTGTGACCGGGTTGTCGCCGCCTTTGTTGGGGCCAGCCGTGTAAGCCGCGGGCCCGCCCTCATGACGTGGGTGCTCCAGCTTCGGCCGGGAGGGCGTGCGCACTACGCCCGCCCAGACGACGTCTTTTCTTGATGTTCACAACGTGGCTCCCAAGATGTCTGGGCCCCTTCCCCAGGAGCAGCTTTTCGTCCTGAGTCGTTTTTATAATTCCGGGGCGGGGCGAGGGACCTTGGAGGAACAACATCGGCAGAAAACGCCCGTCGTGTTTTTTCGCCACTGGAGGATGTCAGGGAGGGCCCATGATAGCCCAGGTCAGAGCGCGGCGGTGGTGTGCAGAGGCGCCCTCTGCGCAGAGGAGCGCTCGAGGCCGCCCTCCGCGAGCGCGTGCGCGGGCAGCCGGAGGCCGTGAAGCTGGTGGCTGCCGCGGTGCTGCGGCACGCCTCCGGCTTGTGCGAGGAGGGCAGGCCCTCAGAGGGAAGGGGCACGGTGCCCATGACCGAGATGTCGCGGGGTCTTGTCGACGCCGACCTTGGCCATGGTCCATGCCAACCGTCGCCGATTCGCGAGAATGCTCCACAAAAGGCTGAGGGTGACCAAGATGAACGATGACCAAGATCGACACCGACGTTTCCGCGTTCAATCGTGGTCATGGCCCTGAGTTTCTTTCCCTCCAGGCCCGTCGCGACGCTGCTGCTCTATGGCCCCCCTGGCGTGGGGAAGACGTCTCTGGCGAAGGCCCTCGCTCGGAAGAGGAACATATAATTACTGATACCGGCACCCTTCCCTCGTCGCGACGGCTGGATTCGCTTTGAAAACCTGGTCAGACAGCACCCCTGGAAAGGTGCGGGGAGTAACTAGCGGTATCGATACCTTTTGTCGTCCCATTTGCGGAGTGCGCCGATCGTCACGTGCCGTGCGGACCGAGGAATGAGCGTTTGGTCTGTTTTGTGCCATCCCAGCCCTCCTGTGCTATTGGGTTCTCGCTTTCTCTCCGCAGCGACGCAACGTCAGCTTCTGTCCTTCCTTTCTACTCGGCACCACCTCACACGTTTCGTGCCCCCATTGTGAGCTGCACCTACGGCCCATGGGGACGCATGCCTACACCCCGCTCAGCTCGGCACGCCCCCAATACGTTTCGTGTCCTCATGGGAATCTCGCAGTGGGAACTTGAACGCGCGTCCCCCGCCCGTGTTGACACCCCTCTCACGGATCGTGGCCCACAGGGAGCTTCACTTGCCCATTTCGGCACTACGGTCACACGGATCGTGGCCAACCTACGGCACCAGTGGAAGCGTTCGCATGCGTCCCCCCGCCCCTTGTCGGCACACCCCTGGCGCGGATCGCGCCCCACAGGGAGCTCCACCTACGGCCCAGTCGAAGCATTCACATGTGGCCCCGCGCCCATTTCGGTTCACCGCTCACACGGACGTGCTCTGCATACGGCCCCAGCGTGAGTGTTCGCATGCGTCCCCCGCCCAGTTCGGCACACCATTCTCGCGGGTCGCGTTCCATCGGGGGCTCCATTTGCTGCCCCAGTGCGAGGGTTCGCATGCGCCCCCCACACCTCGCAAGCGGCCCGTACCGCTCAAGGAGCTCCACCGACGATCTTAGCGGGCGCGCTCGCAAGCTGGCCTCTGTTAGGACAGGGCCCATCGCCAGGCGCCTCATGGGAGGCTTCTCGCCACTACGGCTGGTCAGGACGGACCCCCGGATGGGTCTGGGGGGTGATTTTGAGCGGATTTCCTGCAGGCCTTCGATTTGCGATTTCGTTACGTAGCCCTCAGATCTGTCGACTCGTTCCCCGCAGCCGCTTTTCCGGCCCCAGTCGTCTACGTTTTGTGCAGGCCCCGCGAGCGGCCCCCGGACGCCAGAAAGCGGGAAGCAAAGCCACCCTGAGGCCCTCGCGGAGTGCTGGCTGGGCACGGGGCGTGCGCTGATCACCTTGGACTGCGCCGGGGCCACGGACGCTTCCGCCGCCGCGGCCGCGCTAGCGGCCGCAGTGAGGCGGCGCCCCCACGCAGTGGTCCTCGTGGACGAGGTAGACAAGGCCCAGGGCGAGCTCCTCGGGCTCCTCCTTGAGGTCTGGGTACCGAAAAGGTGGCCTACGGCTCTGCCGTCGGCCGCCGTGCCTGCTCCCCCCGTCCAAACTGCCACGCCACCTGCCCAGCGCCTCTTGCCACTCGCCGCCGCGAGTCAAGAGCGGGGCGTGGGGTGTAGAGCGGAGCAACGAGCAGAAACTATCGGAGGTGCGCGCGGATGTCTTGGGTCGGCGCTGGACCCCCCTCCGATCCCCACACCCCATCCCCAGCGCGCGGAGCGCGCCAGGTGCGCCGCCAGAGGCGCCGCCAGCGGTAGCTGGCAGCGGTATCCAGCGACGACCCAAGACAACCGCGCGGACCTGCGAAAGGTTCTGCTCATACTGCGCCGCGCCGTTATTTCCTGAGATCCAAGGTGGCTGGAACATGCAGCCTCACGGAGAGATCACAACTGGAGCCTTAGACCCCTTCTTTCTGCTGACTTGTGTCCGAACCGGATCGATATTTGATGGCCTCTAGGTCCAACACCGGGCGAGAACGCCTGGTGTGAAAAAATGCAACTCCCAGATCTCAGGGTTGGACCCCCCCCCCGCCAAGGTCGCCGAGGCGGGCTCTCTGACCCTGGGCGGGCCGGGGGCCCTCGGCCGCGTGGACTTCCGCCACGCGCTCGTCTTGCTGGCGTCGAACAGCCAGCGGGGCCCCGCGTCGCTGCCGCCCGCCCTGGCCGACCGGCTGGACGGGGCCGCCCGCCTGGCGCCGCTGGGCCCCGAGGCGCTGTCCGAGGTGCTCTGCGCCATGGTGCGGGACGCTGCGCGACGGCTGCGCCGGGCGGTGCCTGGCGCCGAGCTGCGCACGACGCAGGCGCCCTGCGGCACGGCAGATGTCAGAGGAGGGCTGAAGGTATCGATACCGCTGCCTTTCCCTCGTCTTCGCCTTTTTGGGCCTTGTGGGGGGTCCTCCTCGCCACGGCTGGATCCGCCTCGAAAATGTAGCCAGAGCGCACCACGGGAGAGGTCCGTGGAGAAGCGGTATCGGTATCCTTTTGTTCCCTCAAGATGAGCGGCGTGAAGACACGGAGTTGGTTGCGCGGACATTGGCGTGTGAGCATCCCGCGTGAGGCCGCACATGGCGCCCTTTTTGTCCACGCGGTGTGCCACGCTGGCGGCCCGCGTGGGCCGCGGCGTAAGGTCCCGATGCCATCGTGCGTAAGACCCGTTTCTCTTCGCCGCGCAGATCTGCGACGTGAAGAGACGGGTTCGGCTGCGCAGGCGCTCGCGCGCGAGCTTCCTGCTGCAGGGTCCCGCTTGTCGGCGCCCTCCCTCTTCAGCGCGACGCGCGTCCTCGCTCCGCGGGTCGCCTGCGCAGCCACTGCGTGAGGTCGCCGCGTCGTGGCGCGGGATGCCCCTGTTTCTTCGTCGGCGGGTCGAGGGGGGCGGCCTTCTGAGAATGCGGGAGCTTCTTGCAAGCCATCTCGCCTTGCGTTGGTTCTCAGAACGCCGTCCCCTCCTGCTCCACCTCATTCGTCGTTCCGCCAAGGCGTGGAGGGAGGCGGTGCTTGAGGAGGCTGGGCGGCGCTGCAAACCTCGACCTTCACCCTCCGCACCTGCCGCGCGGAAGTTGCGGAGGGTGGAAGTGACTTCCGCCCTTCGTACTTTCTGGGCCGCAGATTTCTGTCATTCTCGGGCGCGTTCAGAAAAACGGGCGCGGGTTGCGGTTGCATTCGGGCAGATTTTCGGAGACAGTTTCGGTCATTTCACCCCCCTGATAGAAACGAGGCTACGTCTGAGGCCGAGCGCAACGAGGAGGAGCGCGGCGTCCCTAGTACCGCGGGCATCGTGGAGGCAGCAAGCAAAATCAGCACCGCGAGCGTGGTTGCCGCAGCCGCTTGCCCCGGAGTCCAGGCGCCCGTCGGCTCGCTTCTGGAGACATGCCGCACCAACGGGGTTGGGAGCTCCAGACGCGTCTGCTCTTTCACCTCACCACGACGACGACGACGACTGCGGCAGCGGCGGCGGCGGCGGCGGCGATGACGACGACGATCGCGTCGGACGAAAAGGGGGGATAGGGCAAGGGGATGCAGCTGGTGTCGGCCCCGCCCCCAGGCGCCTTCCTCGATACCTTGGCGCCCCCTACCGCCGGGAGGCACAGTGAGTTGATTTGCCCTCCCCCTTTCTCTGAGATCCGACGTTGCGAGAAGGTGCAACCTTTTTGTAGGAAAATCAAGACCGGAGTCCTCGACCCCATCTTCCTTGTGAATTTTTCGAGCCGGATCGATCCGTGATGGTCCCGTGGCATGGAACCGGGCGAGAAGGCCCGCTGTGACAAAAAGTGCAACGCCTGGATCTCAGGCAGGGTCCCTCTTGCTACATGGATAAACCGCGGGGGGCTAAGAGGACCAGGGGGCTACAAATGGATTGTGCGGTGGGCTTGGAGCTCCTGCTACCTTTTCATAGGTGAGCTTACGCCAGCTATGACCCACCTTAGCTTTCGCTTTTGACCCCCCTGTTCCCGCAGAGCCCCGCGCGGTAATCCGAGCACCCTCCCCCGGCCGTCTGACCCCAGACGACGACGAACGCACGGAGGCCCTGAGAGGCGGTGGCGCACAGGGAGGTGCGGCGGACGGGGCCGGCGCGCGGCCTCTGCGGCGGGCGCTGCGGCGGTGGCTCGAGAACCCGCTGGCGGCGGAGGTGCCCCCCGCTGTTTTCCGGGGGGGAGGAGCTCAGAGGAGGCGTTGGGGGTGGTCAGGGAGAAGTTTGTTGTTGTGTTGTTTCTCTCGCTCTCGCGTCGTCCATCATCCCATCGCTGCTGCGCCGTGGCTGCCTGCCCTGTGCCCGCGTAGGCGCGGGCTGCCTGACGCTTCGGGTCCCTGAGGCCCAATCGCATGCCCAAGAGAGAAAGAGCTCAGACGAGGAAAAGGTACAGATACACCGCTGCCATTCCCTCCTTTTCACCCTTCGGGGCCGCCTGGGAGGCCCTCATCGCCACGGCTGGAGTCGCTTCGAATCTTTGGTCATAGCGCGCCCATGGAGGGGTCCAGGGAGTAGCGATATCAGCATCTTGTGGTTCCCCCAGAAGCGAGACACCCGCCGCTGGCGGGGACCCTGAAACCCGGGCGTTGCAATTCTTGCACTGGGCGTTCTCGCCTGGTTTCGGGACCCAAGACCATCACATATCCATGCGGCTCGGAGAATGCCGCAGAAAGATCGGGTCTATGGGGCTCTGAGCATGAATTCTCGCGTTCTCGTGACGTTGCAAGTTGTTCGTGATGTCGGATCTCAGTAGAGGTTCGCGGTGCTTCCCCGAGCTGAGGCTTGGAGGTGTCTCGAGCTGGTCGTTGCAGTTGGGGTGGACCACGCTACCAGGGCGATCCTCCCTGACTTCTCGCGCTGCTGGCGGTGGTGCCGAATTTCTGTGTCCCTACCCCGTCGTCCTCCAACGAGGTCTGGGTACGCTCCCAGACCCCCTGGCATCGCGGACATCGAGGTTGTCGGGAGTCTTTCCCCCTTGTTGGGCCTCCGGTGGAGACAACGTGCGAGGAAGAAAATCCACGCCGCACCTAAAGCATGCATGCTATCGCTGGTGCATGCCGCTTTTCGCAACAGGGTGGCTGGGCGGAAAGTTTTTCCCCCTAAAGCCTGCTGGTAGATTACCGTAGGTAAGAGTTAACGGAGGCGTGGGGACACTGCGGGAGGCAGAACCGCGTTGCAACCTTGCACTCCGTTCCCTTGTGGCTGGAAGGGGGACGTGCCCGCCCTCCACAGCCCATTTCGACAAGCTCTGGGCTGCGCTTCTGGCAGGCCCCACAAGGTCACAGGCCGGTGGGGAGTGCTTCCGTTTTAGGGAGGCAAACTGCGAGGAGGGGCACCCACGCCGCACTTGAAACTTATGCATGCTGCTCTTCACACAAGGGTGGTTGGGCGGGAGGCTTCGCCCCCAAGGCTTGTTCTGCGGGAAGACACAGCATCATCTTTCGACTCACGCCCTTCCCACCGCTGGCGGGGACTGAGGCCGAGTCTCAGAAGTTCCAGGTTACTGGAGCGAACGTCCTGAAGAAACAGCGCGAGTTTCGGTCACATTTCTAGGGCCGAAGAATGAGGGGACAGAAATCATTACGCAGCATCGCAAGATATGCGGTGGGAAATCACCACGTGAGTCGCCACCTAGCGCCGACGAGGTTGCACCGGCGGCAGCGTGGCGAAACGTCGGCTGACCCTCAAGCGCGGTGGGCAGCAACGGGCGGCAACGTGGCCAAACCTCGGCGGACCCCTCAATCCCTTAGCAACTGGAGTGAGAGCCCCTACGTACAAGCAATGTTTGGGGAACAGCCACCAAGCAGCATCAGTGATCCTTCATCCTCCATCTCTCACCATCATCATCGGCATCATCACCATCATCATCAGTACAATCATCATCACCACCATACTCAACATCGGCATCGTCATCAGCATCAGCAGCAACGTCATGATCATCAGCATTATCAGCATCAGCATCATCATCATCGTGACCATCATCTTTCCAATGTTGGCTGAAGGCTCAACAGCTTTCCAAGAGAGAGTTTTACACGCGTTCGTCTGCATCAGTTGCTCTCACCTTCCGTTTCTCCTCGTTCCGCCTTCGCGCAGGGCCGTGCGTCGGCGAGGGGGCCCCTCCTGCCAAGTTCGCGCGCCACGGCACCAATCCTTTGTAGATCGACGCTGGGAGAGAGACTGGCTTAGAGACCATCTTCGCTGCTGGCACAGGACAGGCTGCTGAGTAAGTTTTGGGATGCAGATCGATGGTATAGCCGCCAATGTGAACGGACTTTCCCTGTTGATGTGAGACCTACGCGAGGTGAGTTGGCTTCTTGGAAGAGTGCGACAGGCAACCGATTGGATGATCTCACACGTAAAGCTGTGACACTCGAGTGTGGTTGATGTTGATGCAGGTGCTTAAGGGGGTACATGCGCCAGAAGCGGCCCTTACTCAAGCGGAGGTGCAAATTGCAATCCGGGTCATCGTCGGAATCGTTGTACCGTGGTGGTTGGAGGTTCCAGACGTGACACGCAACGACATGAGAACGTGGCGGCGCTGCGCGCCATCATTGCCCAGGCCGCAGAGTGGAAGACTTGCACGCGCCAGGGCAGTCCACCAGCCTTGGTAATTCAGCGGAAACCCGTGCCAAGAAACACCCTGCTTGCTTCCAGGGTGCCCTGGGCTTCTTGGGTTTCGATGGCTCTGCAATGGAAAGCGTGACGCTCCCACACCAAAAATCAATGGACGCCCTGGTGTCTCAGGGCTGGGTTTCTTGTGGAAGGTTTCTTGTGGTCGGGCCCCTTCTGTATCAAGTTCAGGACACCTGATGTAATGCGGAGGTGGGGGCCGCAAATGACATCGTTGGTTTACGATTCTCCGTCAAATTAACGCATCCACTTGTGGCACGCGGCTGAGAAGCCACTGGGGGGAGAGAGGTGTCTGGTTGGGTTTCTCTTCCTCACAAGGCCGTGACATATTAACTGTTTTGATGGAGTTCTGGGTGTCCAGTAACATCGTTGACGAGGCTGCTGTCAATATAATCCTTCCGGACTGGGACGGTGGAGCTCCGCGCTACAAGAGCGTGCAGACAGGTACGGTTTTCAGGTGGGCAGGCCGAGACGGTTGTTGGAAGTACCCGATGGAGCTGTAAAGTCTGGTATCCACTTGGGGTGGACCGAGGCGCTGCAGGGCATCATATTCCGCTCTTGACCTGGCGCAGACGCGACGAGGTCCGCTTACCTTGCTGGTCGCCCTTTGGAATGCGAGAGTCATCAAGCGCACTGATTCCGAGGAACTGTTGCCCCCCAGTCGGGCGATCTCACGCGTGCAGGAACTTCCTCACTAGAGCGTCAAATTCCACGAGTGTGTGTTGGCTGGGCTCCGTGACCCAGCCATTCCCACACAGCGAGAGCAACGCCATCTTGACTGCACTCGCACAAACAATTTTCTGTTGATGTCGGGAAAATGGTCGTTCGAGAGGGTTCTCAGATGCGTGGTGTCCCATGGCAGGATGAGGATCTGGCCATCGTCAATATGCATCTACCGCCCTACCACAACCTGCGTGAGTATGGTGCTGAGCTTCAGATGGCCATTGGCCTCCGCGAAAGAGCTGGACACCGCGCTGCAATATGGTGCCTCGGTTCTATCCCAAACGCACCGCTGCCGGAGGAGGCCGAGGATGGCGGCCATGTCCGGTAGGATATGGCTTCAGAGTGTGATCCCAAGACCGCGTGCTTCTTTTCCGCCGTGCAGGAGATGGACCCTGCCAGGACGAACGTACTCGGCTCGTTCGACGCGTCCTGTGCGCGCCCAGATCGCCCGCCCCGCCAGATCGATGTCGGTGGATCCTAGTGTTCTTAGAGAGATAGAGCGCGCTGCGCCATTGTGAAATTCAGCAGCTACGGGCGCCGATGATCCAGCGCAACTTCTTCAGCTTTTCTCCCGCGCACTTCGTGAGCGACACCTCCCCGCGCGTCGAGGCGAGCCCGCCAGCTGGTTCACGCGCGGCAGCTCCAGCGCAGAGGCCTCTCGGGCTGGGATTCGACACCCCAGTGGCGATGCTCAGTCTTCCGAAGCACGGCATCTTTGGCGCCGCGGTGGAGCTGGCCCGGGGTGCCCTGGAAACCGCGGGGGGCCCATCAGAGCAGGTCGGGGCTGGCGTCCGCATCCCAGCGGGGGCTCCTACCCACAAGCGTCGCGCCGAGCGCTGAAGGTCGCGGGCCAGCGACACTCGACCGCGCCATTCCCAACTGCTCGGGGGGCGGCCTGTGCGTCGACGACGCGGCCGAGCTGGCGGCCGCCGTCGCATTCGTGTGATTCCTCATTTCTCGCCCCGAACAGAGCAAGGCGCCCTCGGGTCTCGCAGTGCCGTCGGCATCCGCGCTGGAGACGAAGTGGTGATACATCCTGACAGTTATGTGGCGGGCCGATGTCGACGCGCCTGTCCCGCTGCCTTCAGCCCCCCCATCAATCTAGATCTGCAGTGAACAGAAGGCCACACAAAACGACGCTGGCAATGGACATGATGGCATGAACACCGCTGCTGACGACTGTCGCCGCGCGCGCCGTCGCCCCAGCAAGCCGCGGGACTGGGGCGCCGACCAGTTCGGCCGGCCATTCACTGCGCCATTGGACCAGGATAAGTCGGGCATTCTTGTTCGCGAAGTCCTCCAAACAGTTGCGCGGCGACAACCATTCGACGCTCGGCCCCCGGCAACGAGGGGGGCGTTTGCTGAGGCGGGCGACGCCGATTCGGAGTTGGACTTCGCAGCGGCGGGAGGTGCAGAGTCGCCCGCCCGCTCAGTGGCCCTCTCAGTCGGGAAGTCGCTAGCTGGGATTCCCATTTAGTTCGGTTCTTCACCAAGAAGCAGCGAGCTTGGGCTAACCTAAAGAGCAGCCACCCCATTGCACTGCTATCTGCATTCCGCATGCTCTACTCCAGATGCTTCGCCCTTCTGAAAGGCGCTCTTCTGCGCCGGCGCCGCGACTCGCAGCGGGCGCCCGCCCCTGGGCGCCGGTTGGATGCCCTGATCTGGCCAGCTTGACCGCGCCATGGCCGTTCAGAACAAAGATCATGGACTTGCCCTTGGGCTTCCTCGATCAGGTAATGAGTCCCGCGGAGTGCGCGCGGCTAGCGGCCGCCGTCGGCGCCGGTCTCTCAGGCGCGGGCTCGGAG